GCTAGCGCAATGCCTGGCCGCGTTTTTCTATGCCCAAGTGTGAGAGGTGCGGGCGGCGTGTGCCGCGGTGGCGGCAACAGCTCATGGGCTGCCATTGGTGAGTGCAGCCTCCGCAGGGCGTACTATGTCTCCCGAGGCCTCGTGGGGACTTCCCCACCTCCGTTCACCCTAATTTGCCGCCCCTTTTGCTGCTCTTGCTGCCACCATTGGGGCGGGATCTTCATGCCATGGTGTCCCCACCGGGTTGGCATTGGCAGCCACCGATCGCCCTCCCTCTCCCCCTTCCTCATGTAGCCCTTCGCCGCCATGGGGGAAACGCCCCCAGGCGGAGGTTGCACTATTTTATCCAGCCATTCCTGTGCCACACCCGCCGCCTCGCGGCTCGCTAGTTCCACGGTCTGGCCGCCTCCCCCACCTCCCAATCCTCTGGATGCGCGCCGGCGGTCGCACGCCACCGCATCCGTTCAGCCCGCCTGCCTGGACGAGCTACTGGAGCTCCAGGCAGAGCTTCGCCGGTGGTGGTTCTACCTTCGTGGCCTTGAGGACGCTGCTGAGGAGGGCGCCTATGACCTGGCATAGAAGGTGGAGCGGGTGGTGGAGCGGATGGTCGGACGGGCAGTGCCGGTGGTTGACTGTGTCCGGGTTGGCCGGTTCAATCGGGACAGGCCCCGGCCCATCATTCTGCGATTCGACCGGCTGGTGGGACAAGGTGGCTATACTGTGGGGCAAATCAGTCATGTACACAATAGAGGTGGCCACCCGGATCCGTTAATAGCGGACAGAGGTTATTTTCCGCTAATTTTCCGTTAATTAACGGAAAATAACGAAAAAAGACAAAAATTAACCAAAAATTAACGGATTTTTAGATTTTTTGGGTTTTATTCATACTTATAGTTTATGGAATTCGCTATTAGAGAGTATGTTTGTATTTTATTTCAACCTATGCATACTAGATTTTTAACTAGCCGCAGTTGTTGTGATTTTTTGGGGTCTTTTTCAATTTTTTTGGATTTTTTTCGTTTTTTCTGAATTTTTCTCCCTTTTTCTTTAACGGAATTTAACGGACAGCTGATAAAAATTAACGAACCAGACTTAACGGAGCGGATGGCATCTTTGAGTGGCCACCTCTAGTACACAATGGCTTGTCCAGAGGAGTTGTGCGGGCTCCGGGTGTACCATGACCTGTCCGCCGCCCAGCTGGATTGGAAGCGGTGGTTGATGTTACGCACACCGGCCTGATGTGGGGGACGCCCTACTAACGGCCCCTTGGTGTGGGGGACGCCCTGCCAAGGTATGGTGGAATAACCCCAACCCACTTAAAGATATTATACGATATGGGAATAGGTTGGGGTGGTCCCGCCTAGGGACCTAGGTGCCCGGCGAGGTGGGCCCGCAGCTGAAAGAGGGCAGGAGCCCCACACCAACAACTTTCATGTATCAGTTGAGGGGGGCCTACGAGTACTACCTAGGGGTGGGGGTTAGGGTAGTGTGGCATTGCGGCTACCGTCTGTTTGCCCTGTTGGAGGGCAAATATACCGAATTCTATTTGGATTCCGTTCTCACCCACTAGTTTGGGTGGGAATTGACATAACTTTCCCTTGTTTTATGCTTGGCTCTAGGTGTGTATGGTGGTGCCTGCTTGGGAGGCCAGACGGGTTGGCGTCTGGGGAAGTGGGCCTTTCTGGCACTTTTTTCTTTCCTATTCTCTTTACCGTCTGCTTGGTGAACAGTCTGGACACTTTTTCTCTTCCATTGGGAACGATCTGTTGGACCCGCTCAGCTATGCTCGTTGTACTCTTTGGATGTTTGTCTCAGGGCTCCTGCGAGAGCGCTGCAAGGTGGAAACGCAGGGTTGAAAAGCCTCATTATTTTGTGTAATAAACATCGCGACACACACACACACACAGGGCCTTGTGGAGCTTCCACATCTTTCAGAGTTCTTTTGAATCGAAGAAACGGGTGAGAAATACTGAAAGATACTCCTTTGAGTAGAACTCTGGAATCGTTTTGCCTTGTTTGGTTACCTAACAGGGCAAAACGATTCCAAAGTTCTACTCAAAGGAGTATTTTGCATTATTTTCATCAAAGCAACTTTTCTTTTCTTTTGTAGATTCGTATTGTGGATGGCATGGGCCATCCCACAAAGTGAATCGCGTCTTTGAAATGCAGACCATTCGCTATCCACGAGACACATTGAGACATCTTGAGCATCTCAAGCGATCCATCCACCCAGTGAAACGTTGGTCACATAGATGGTCCCATAGATCGTAGATTTAGTTTGTATTTCTCAATAGATTCCAATGAACCAATCACCGACTCTGCTTTGCTCATGCAAAATAGGAAGCTGACGGCTACCTCATTGCCTTGTTCTGTAAAAAATCATGATGATGATGATGAAACGCTGGTCACTGTCAGGCATCGCGAGCCCTGGATCGTTGCTGGGGGGTCATTACTGTTCATTTGGTGCACGATACGTACAGGAGTGGGGGTGTGCGAGGAAGGACTGCAGTAATGTACTGTTTCTGCTGCGAGTGGTGGGCGCATAGCTGGGCTGTTCCCAGTGTACTGCAGAGCCCTTAAGGTGCGTGGGAGGCGTGGCCCAGCGGCCGCCCTCCAGGCCGCAGAGGGAGGCGAGAGGGCGCAGACCAGGGACCAGACCGTTCCATCACCTGCCGGATCTCTTTCCATCGGTGGCACCATGGAGGTGGAGGACGGACGGTTCGGATCTGAGATCCTGGTGCACGAGTACGAGCTGGCTCCCTCTGGGCCACCGAGGCTGCGCCACGCTGTCGATTCAATCGGTGTCAAGAACGAGGTGGGCGAAAGCATTCTAGTGAATTGATGGGCTGTTCCCGATTGGGGGCTTGCGTTTAGGGGGCCTCCCATCGTTTGGCCTGGCAACACAACGTACGTTCGCGTGCGCAACGAACTCTATCCTCACCTGAGGACAACCAGTGCTCCTTGTCCGGGTAGGCGTCCCGTGCTTTTGTTATTGAGCGTCCCACTCGATCGGGTGGCAAGGATCAGTTGCCGCTGCCGTGTGGCCGTCTTCTGATGTCGTCATGGAGTGCACTCTGACGCAGCCCCCAAAGATTGTTGCGCCCAGGCGGGGATGCGACTTTTGGCGAGGTGAATGGGCAATCACCAATGAATCTGTTTGTTGCGTTTGTTATATACACATGGCCATGAAATCCATTGCATCTTACAGTCAACGACCGTGCCCGCACCAGCCAACTCATTTCCTGGCTGCACCACAGATCCACACGCTGTTCGGTTGCACTAAAGGCAGCCGGCGGCCCACAATGAAAAGACAATCCGAAGGAGCAGCGCAGTACCCTTATAGGACAGACCAGGGACCAGGTGCTGGCCAAAGGAGAATCACAGACAAGGGGCTGTAATCGATAACGAGTAAGAGAAAGCCAAATCCAACTCGGCGAAGATGAAGTCCCCACACCAGTGCAAAACAGCCACACAAGCCGGTCCAGAAGTGGACGATTGAGCAACAAGATGAAATGCTATGAGGAACAGCCTCCAGGCCCACCAATGAGTCTGAAAATGAGAAGATGAATGGGCCCCAACCTGGCAAGACTGATCTTTGGGGACCCATAGTGTGCCCCCAGGCAGTGGGCCCCACGATCATTTCTTGTGCCTCCCAACTGTGCGGGACCCGAAGGCCCAAACGAACCAGCATCTTTATCTCCCCACAGTGCTGTGCCACCTTGTCTGTAGCACGCCATGGACTGCCATTGTCCCTTGAGTTCATTATTTTACATTGCAGCTCGCCTGCTTCACATCAAAGCAATGTTTCAGAATTTCCCCTTTTCCAAACATGGTCCACAACTGCATAAAACAAAGCTGGTCACTTCAAAAACATGAAATGCATGTGACTCCAGTACGAAGAGGATTTGCATTGTTGGTGGATGTGTTCTTCTTGCCACAATGGTAGGACGTGTGGTATAGCAGGGATGCTCTTATCGTCGAACTTTCAGCTCTCTGCATGAAGGGGTGCAATTCTCTTATTGCATCAACTCTCCCACGGCCCTGAACCATGTGAAATAGAGCATAGTGGATATTTTAACCGATTCATCCTGCCCTGGCCATTGTTCATCAAAGTTTCAGTTGTTTTCATGGGCTGCTGCAATTCTCTTATCTGCAGTGATGGAAATTTGCCAACAACTATCCTATGGATGTGAACCCTAGCTGTGAAAAGAAAACGATGGATCATTTGACCGATTCTTCCTGCCTTTAAGCTAGAACTGAAGGTAGGTGTTCAGCTTGAGAGTGGAAGTGAACATCCCAGTGCTGAGAGACATCTGCACCTGGCAGATGTATACAATCATTTGAATACCAGTTGGTGAGTGCTCACATCAGGCGGTGATCATCTCATTTTGTTCCATGGATCAGAACAATGGAAATATCAAGTTGTGCACATTATGGATTTATGGCTTTCGCCATTTGAATTAAGTTTGAAATCGGCACACAGTTCATTTACTCTTCTCAAATCTGGCTTTTCCTTGCTGGTAGTTTCTGTTGATGAACGATACTTACTGCTGAACGAATTTACATGGCGAACGTGAATGTTGGTGACTTGAAACTGTATCAGTGCCATTCATGGTTTGCAGCCCCAGCAGTGTTCACAATGTAGAGAGGAAATGGAAAGCAGCAGAAAGTGACTGGCTTTCATGCAGGCAACTGTTGTCTGTGATTGCCACTCCATGTTCTTTCAACAAAATGGGGAGTGGTCCATCAATTGATGCCCTGATCTCTGTTGCATGGAAGCAAAGAGTCTAGAATTGTGCATCATGGTGGCTTCTGACTGCCTCCACCATTGTGCTGTGCTGGACACTTGCTGTGCTGTGCTGTGCTGTGCTCGACACTTGTGCCCTTCTGATGCCTGGTGATGGAAGTCTGTTGCTGGCAATTACTGAACAGGCATCCATATTGACAAGATTGGAACTACAAATTGCTGAACGTGTACATAGAAACACCCTTTAGCACATGAAAGAGCTGCAAACACGTTTGTGGCATGTTGCAGGACATGTTCACCGCATACACATGCAACACCTCCCCCTGTGAACCAATATCTGATGGTGCTGGCTCTTTTGATTCCCTTTCTTCTGGGAGACAAGACTGCTGGTCTTTTTTCTGCCTTTGTGATGGCCACAATGGAGGAGGGGCATCAACATTTGTTGAGGAACACCTGTGGAATGAACTGAGCCAGCGCCTACCAACTCACCTGCCCACATCATGGGATTCAGAGGGTAGGCAACGAGGAAAACGAACCGAATCTTCCTTGACAAATGGTGCTGAAGGTGTTAGGCAATATGAAGCCCCAGGTGTAGCAAGTGTGAAGATGCGGTTCCAATGGCCATTGCTTTTTGCAGTACTTGCACCTGACCTTTCTTCCATGCCATCTGAAAACATGGAAGGTAACTCTAGTCAGTTCAGTTTACATTTCAACACCACCTCTGATCAGCTGGAAATCAGACCAGCTGAGATGAGCAAAGGAAGGCATGTCGTGTTTTCCCTACAGGCTTCATACATGAAGGAAGGATGCCAAAAAATGGACAGCACATATAGAGTTATCTTCATGAATGGTTGCAGATGAGTAAAGGCCATTAGGTGGTTGTGCATTCCCGTGCGTCTGATTGGCTCAGTTGTCTGGACCCCAGAATATTTCTACATTGTTCATGTTTGGAACTGTGGGTCGCCTTCTACAGCAGATGGGCAACTTCCTAGCCCCAGACAAGTGGGCTTATCAGATGCATTGCAGTGCACAAGCAACAAATGACCTTCACACATCTGGATCCGTTCATGAAGACAACTTTTATATATTGCTGTCATTCTCTTGGCATCCTTTACGTATGCGGCGGAGACCATTGTCTGCCATGTTCATGCTTGCAATTGTGGTCAACTTCTATGGCAGATGGGCAACTTGCCAGCCCCAATAAGAACATGATGAGACAATACTGAACATATTTCATGCATGGAGGAAGCACATACGTCCTTGGTTTCCCTCGATGCTATACTATACACATAGGATACAACAGGAGGGAATATGTTTCTTGCAGCTGGTGGGAGTAGACTGGGACATTCTTGCTTTTCCAGTGGTTTCTGTTTATTCAGTGCCAGTGGCAGACACAGTTGCATAGTTTATTCAAGGCAAGAGGGAAATTGGGATTCGCAGCCGCCAAAATTCCTATTGAGGGTCTTCGCATTTTTGCATCTGGAGTGTTTTTTCTGCTCTGCCCTGTATGGTGTAAGAGAAACCATTGAAATGGGTAGTTGGCATCCTGATGCCATTATCTCTTGTGCATGCAGAGGGCAAGGCCTGCACTGCTCAAGTGAGGACTGCTGTGCTGGATGCACTTGTAGTAGTGGATGCTGCATTTCGGACACTTCAAGTGCAATCAGGTCAGTGGTACATACGAAAGGACTGCTGCTGGACATGGTGCCTGAGGAAGTCCATGTAATGTATGGGAAGGCTGCTGCAGTACTGAATTCTGGATAAAACTTCACAAGATTTGTGCCTGGGCTTGTAGCACTTCTGTATTGCTGTGTTCCATGAAATTGTGTGAACAAACTTCCTGCTGTTTTGCCCAGATGCCGCAAGAAGCGATTTCCATGCTTGCTAATTGTGAGCTCCGGTTATGCATCACAGGTTGTGCTATTACTGTGGCATTAGTTGGTGGCTGGATGCTGACTGTTGCCAATCTTGGGGATGCTCTTGGCTTCCTTGACACCGGCACACATATTGTAGATATGACAGTAACCCACCGGCTGCATGACAGCAAACTTGAGCAGGGTCGATTGCTCAAGGCTGGTGTTTCTGTCGCTCCCATGTCTTTGTCCCTGAGTGGACCAGCTAAACATGGAGAAGAAGGGTCAGGATATTTGAGAGTTTGGCCTGGAGGCTTGGCAGTGTCAAGATCAATGGGTGACATCGATGTTAGGCCAGAGGTTGTCTGTTTGCCGCACATCCGACAGGTGATATCTGGCGCATCGTGGCAACAAGGTTTGAATATTGGAGTGTTCTGAGCCCAGCTCACTGGTACCACTGATTAAGTATCACCCAACGTTGCTGAACTCCTTGATGACTACAAATTACCATATATTCACAAATGCTAACATTCGCAAGTGCAGGCATGTGCTTTTTGGCTTATGTGGTGCATTTGGCTGTTACTGCTGGGGATATAATATCTTGGGATTGTTTGCTTGTTGACAGGTGTTGACGTTGCCTGATGTGGGCGCAAGATTCGTTTAATTTTTGTGTTATCGCTTTTGGTTGGTACCCACTGATAGACAGTAGTTTTGTGCTTCAGGATATGTTGTGAGGGTGGTTGAACTGGATTCCGTTGCAGGTTGTTGTTCCACAAACTGGAGGACGTTTTGTCACAGCGTCCGGAAGTGTGTGGGATATGGTATCTAAAATGAAGGCCTTGAAGGTTGCACGGAAAGCCCAGCTGGATGATGCCCCCGCCAAAGTTATTGGGCTGGTTAAGGCGGCCACATGTTTCCAGCTTAGCAGTGATGTCATAGTTGCGGCAGTGGACATCTTGCCTGCCGGTGTGGATGACTTTACTATGGCTGTGAAGGAGATCAAGCCTCCAAAGGGGCTGCTTCCAAGATTTTTTGCTAGGAAGCCGGTAAGTGACGCAATTTGAGGCATTGATTCACTCCAACTTGGAAACAGCCTATCAGTGGTGTGAGCGTATCTATTGTGCCTGTTGTGGGCAGATTGTGGACTTCCTGTCAGTGTTTAATACTGTGCGCACAGAGAAGAGAAGATGATAAGTCAAATGCCACGGTTTTGTGCAGAGTCAACCAGCAGAAGTGTGGAGCTTTGATGCTTTGCATTCTGACGTACAGCGTTTAGCCTCTAGGAGCAGCTCTGTACGACAGTCCTTTTGTGGTAGTTTTGAGTGATTGTTGTGGAATTGTCTTGAACTGCACAGGTGACCACTCTGCCAGGTGTTGTCTACCTTGCAAATGTCGACACCATACAGGAACGGCCGCCAGAAATTTGTTGGCCAGAACCTTCATCTATTATGGGAAGCCATTCCATCATAGGCACCCACTCCTTGTATTCATCAGCGCAATCGCTGCATGTGCCTTCATCTAGTGCCCTGCTTTCTTGTGGTGCCCTTCTTTCTCCTGGCCAAGCACTACTGTTCCCTGGTCCCCCGACTGCAGACCGCACGCCACAGATGGAGACGGAAGGAAATGAAGGAGTATCGTGGACATTGAACCCTTTGTCACTAACAACGGGCAGTCGAAATAGGGAACCTCCACAAACACAAGACCGCAGAATGGCAAGGAGCCCTGGCGCTTGTGACCTCCTGGGTAGCTCATCAGAAGAGGAGGATGGTGAAGAAATAAGTGCAGACAATTTCCTGTAGCTGATGGACGCAGCTGTAAGCACATTTAGGTATGCTGGAATGCCATGGAAGGTCTGCTGTCCAGAGGTACATTGATTTTTGTGCACTCTGTACTTGTAAGTATTGATGTATCTTTATTCACATGTTCATAACATTGATGCCCACTAATTGTTGCTCTGTCCACGTCCTGCCTAAAGTGTAGTGTGAATGAAGAAATAAGGACTGTGTGGACCTGCATTCGTCCTATGTATTGCATGCCAGGTCCACGGAATTCTCGTGCTGTACGGCAGGGATGGCTCTACTACATTTGTGGTATGGGTGTCTTTTTGAATATCGAAGAAGTATGGCTGACTGGTGGCATGGGAGAAATGCTTGCTGTGCACATATGAGAAGAGTTGCTCCTCTCTTGCTCCTCCCTGACCTGTACCAGACATGGTCTGTGCTAGCAAAGGGCCCTTGATCACAGCAGGGGTTGGGGGGGGGGGTCTCCCGCATTCGCAGATCCTGCCATTCTGTATCAGCTGCCTGGCTGTTGGTTTAATGGGGGTTGCTGAGCAGTGCACAGCCGTCGTTGTGGCCATGCTCCCAATAGGCTTCACAACGGCAATGTACATAGTACCGCATTGCATTGCCCGATGACAGTGCAGACGTACGCTGGTGCAATGTGTGGTAAACTTTGTTCTTTTCTTGTTATGGTGGGAGATGTGTGTCTACAACAGCAATTGTGCTGAAGCACATACAAACCAGAGGTAGACGGAATTCTAATGTTCATTCAATGATGCTCATCGCATTAATGTCGAGTCCTCTCAACCCCTCCATATCTGAACTTCATGCGTGTACATGCGGTCCAGGATTTGCGTGACAGAAATGACGGATGGTGCAGGCGATGCCCACGTGGTCAGCAAGGAACGTACGCTGGTCATCAAACAGGGCTTCAAGGCAGTGGCTCTTGGGCCATTCGCGACACTGGCTATTGACTTGGGAGCAGGTTGCTTTTGTTGCATGGAACTCAATCACGAGTGAGTATTCTTCTCTGTGAGCTCGCAGGAAAAGGATTGCTGGAAAGCACTTCGACAAGCCTTGACTGAAAACCCCTGTGTTGCCTCTGAGCAGATTGATACCTATTTAATTCGTTCAGGGAATATTGTTGGAGATACGGCTCGTCTCTGAGGTCCATGGTAGAGGTGTCTCTGGACATCAGCGTTTGAGAACCTGAGGAATCAACATGGGTGCATGGGATGGCGACATCCGGCCAGATGTGCAAAGCAGGCTCCACAGTTTTTGGTTCTGTGATCTTGTACCATATGGTTTGTTTACAGAGTGCATGAGACCCCTGTGACAATGCAGTATACCAGGTGTGGACATGGTTGGAGGTCGCGTGTGATGGGCTCTGTTGATGAATCGAATAATAAACTATCTATTGTAACAATTCTCTGAGAGCCCGAGCCCCACGTGATTATGTGCACTTGTGTGTTCCTCCTGGTAATGCAGGATGCCATGTTTCCAATATCTGCTGTGTCTGATCTGCGCTCGCAGCTATTCTCCTCAGGGGATGTGATGGTGGTGGCTTCACTTCTTATTTGACAGCAGAGGTAGGGCCCTTTGCTGTGCCCTGCGCCCTTTGACTCTCCTGAACAGCCCTTTCCAGTGATTCCACGTCCTCTGGCTCAAGAGCTGCCAATGCGTCCGCAACCTGTAGGGCAGCTTCGCTGGCAGCTTGCACATCCCCTCTGCTGGGCTGCCGTTGCCTTCCATATCTGTGAAGACAGCACCCGATTGGGAGAGGACACAAGCACATGCAGCAGTTGGCATCCCCAATATGCAAAGCTTGTTGGCCTGCATGAGAGAGTGCCCACATGCCAATCCACAGTCTAATGATCGCACAACAGAAAGAACATGTTTCAAGTCCTTTCGGCAAGGAGTGCACAATATGTTGCTCTCTCAATATGTTGCAATGCGTGCAGCAAACGAGTTCTGCTTTGATGGCATGATTGCAGTGCTACCTTGTCTAACAGATCCAGTCAGGCAGCCATCCATTGGAAAGAATGCACAGCCTGTTGACTTCAAGCGAAACAACAAATCATCGGCCAGGCGCCAGCACACCTTTCATTCATTCTGGATCCCTTCAGTGGGCCAATTCTCTGTGGCAAACTGTCGCTTGCCTTCCACGACCGAGCATGTGCTGGGGTGGTCGACGCCTGTGCAAACGGCGCAGTCCCTGGCACACTTGACAGAGCCTCAACTTTTAACTCACCATCAGGAAACACATGCACACGATCCAGGGACAATCGATCAACCTCATACAAAAGGTTGGGGTCTTTGGTCGCCTTGGTGTCCACTAATTCCTGTTTCATTGCTCGCACAAGCCCATTGAAGCTTGATGCCCCACGGACAAGCATTTTATTTCTGCCAGCAGCTGTGGAGGATCCGCCCATGATGAGGCGCTGCTTTAGGGAGGCCAGCTCTTCTTCCTGTGCATTCTTGGCAGCCTCAACGGCTTCATGCTCCTTTCGCAGGCTCTGGACAAGCTTCATGAGAGCATCACGCTCCGATTGCAGTACCTCCCCGGCCTGCCATGCATGCTGCCATCAGCAAACTCGAGCACCACATTGCAGTCACGCAGAAAGCTATCGTAGGCATGCCTGTCATGGAGTCAAATGCTGGGCGAAGGGTGCCAGCTGCCATGCACTGAGAAGCGACTGGTAGGTGCCAGGCTGAACTCGCAAAACGAAATCTGCGGTCAGCTCCCAACCTTCTTGTTGGACAGTATCCATTGCGCATAGATAGACATGTTCAACATCATCCTTTCACTGTCATGGGCTATGAGAGCTCTGAAACAAGGTGCAATGCTGCAGTTATGTGCCAGGTTACCAGCACTGCCTCCTGGAGTGTGCGTTTACAACATCACTTTAAACCCCATCCAGCAACCAGGTGCATAGATCCAAGGTGCTGCATGAAGACGTACTGGAAGATTTGCGGTGCCGATATCTTCAGATGGTTCGATTGTTATCTCACAAGCCAAAATGTGCACCAAAAATGCCTCCTTGCCCATTGGTAGCAATCCAACAGCCATGGGTGCCCTTCTGCGCACCGCCACTCACTCACCTTGGAGAGCTCCTGGACGCGTCCTCGGCCCCACTCGCCACTGTCAATCAGTCTGACAAAGCGTTCGTTGTCTCGTCGCAATCTCTCATTCTCCAGCTCAAGTTCTCTACTGCGCCTCATGATACCTTTTGTGGTTTGCACTTCCTGCTCTCTCTTTGATTCTTCCACAGCATCCAGCCAGCGATTAAAAGTCAGTGATTGAGTCCGGAAGGCCAACCGTCGAGAAGTGCGGTCAACAATTAAGTGCATTCTCTGGGCCCACTGAACATGTCCCTCCCAGGAACAGAAAGCTTTCCCCTGCACAGTGTGGAAAAGCTGTTTCATTTTCCTGGGCTGTTGCCACTTGAATTGCGATGGGGAAGCCACCCTGAGGGAGCCAACAGATCACCACCTGTTGTTATTTCAACACTGTGGCCTTAAAGTTTAGGCAGGTCCTGTACAGAGAGAATTTGTTGCCCGCAATGTGCTGGCAGATCTGTTTCCAGGCAGAAGATTGCAAGCACTGTGTGTGTATTTCGCCTGATCAACAGAGTGCATGTATTGGACGTGGGCGAATCATGCCAACAAGAGAGGGGCAGGTTGGCTGCTATTATGTTTGCTCATTGCAACTCACCAATGTTAGTAAATAGAAACAAAAGGCACCACACGGATTTTCGATTTCAACAAGTACCAGCCGCGCTTTGCCTGTTGTTCTGTTATCAGTGATACCATGTTCACTGCAACAATGCTGGCAGAGCTGTCAGCTGCTGGCCAGAAGCAAACACACATGTGGCCGCCCATCTTTCAAATGATGCTCAAAAGCAGCCTTGTCAACCTCCAGGCATCTGCAGGATATTGTATAGTGCTGAAGGCTCAGATTGTTCCCTCTGACACCAGGAAAGAAAGTACATCACCCCTTGCAGGCAGGAAGATTCCTGCTTCATACAATCCAGTGGCCTGCCATTCTCGACTCCTTGACAAGATTTCGAGGATTTCAGCTGTCGAATCCATACTCCCAGTCTATCTGTGCTTTCCCAAGGTATCTCATTTCCCATTCAGACCCCACACCTGGGATGATTGCAAAACGCACGGCCAACAACTTCACACCTGCCCTGTGCGCCTGACTCAACAACTTCGCAAACTCTGGGTCTTTCTCATAGCAAGGAGCAAACGAGTGACAATCGCCCCTCTGAATGACAAACACACATGCAGCCTCCTTTCCCTGCGACATTGCCCGCATCAATTCCCTAAGGTGGCTTTGGGCCCTGGTGCTGACAGTGTCAGGAAACAGACCCACTCTGCTGTTCGCGTTGCCAGTTTCCCCAGTGCTGGCGTCTCTGCTGCATGCCTCTGCAAGAGTGACACTCTTGACTTCTACATACATCTCCCGGCCTGTGGCGGTGGTCAGAAGAAAATCAGCTCGTGATGAGCTGCCCCCATATTTCACTTCCTGCTTGATGTGCTCGTAGGGCTCCAAATCTCTCAGTAGACGCTGCTCCAGCATTTCCTTCACCAAGCTGTTGGCAAGAGCGCTGTGGATGCCCACCCACACATTCACAGGAGCATCTAGATATATCGCTTCCAAGGTGAAGTTGTACTTCCTCTTTGGGTTGTCCGACTGGCTCATAAGCACTTTAGCGCTGGGCTGGTCCAAAAGGCCAGTCATGGGGCCAGTGTTGGGGCAGTACACAGTGAGCTCGCGCTCACCTTCCGCGCTGGGATGCTCAAGTTCCACGTCTGCAAGAAATCTCTTGTAGCGTTTCAACAGCCAACCAGGCTTCATGCCCTCCACGCGACGAATGCACTCTCCCGATCCCGGATCGGAACCGCAACTCAAGTTGGGGTGCGTTGATCCGCTGCGGGGTGTCTTTGCGTTTGCCGCAGCCTGACCATCAGGTCTTGTTCTCTTCATGCTGCCTGCCGGTCTTTTGTGCGCT